ACTCTCACCCCCAGCCTAACTGTGGCTTCTGCCTGGGCAACGCTTTGCTTCTCACCCGGGAGCGGTGGTAGGGCACACCCACCCCCTCGTGCACGTGCTTGGGAACCAGCCTCGAAGGGCCATCAATACCGGGGCCCCGCGCGGGGCAGCCTCCTGCCCTCAGCTGAGGTTCTGCCGCAGGGGGAGGGTGTGTTGGCAAATACACCTTTGCGAAGCCCTGAGAACCCACCGAGGGCTGGAAACCCCTCTGCCTCTGTTGGAACACTGTAGACGTCCCTACCAGTTGAGACACTCCTAAGGACTGCTCGGGTCAACACATCAGAGGCCAGAGTTCCGACCCCAGCTCCCACTTTGAGAAACTCCTGCCTGATCATCCCGCCAGAGGCGAGGATGGCTTCGTGAACCTCATGCGTCTCCAAAGCCCAGCTCACCCCGTCTGGACACGGGAGGCAGTGCAGCTTGTGTGCAGGGGTCGAGGGCTCCCGAGTCTCCCTCTAGCCTCCTGGGCCAGGTGGCAGGTGAGCTGAATCCCACAGGATCGGAAGGAGGTGCGGGGAGGCACAGCGCCCTCCGGCTCTGGAGAGCCCGTGGGCCAGCTCGTGCCCGATCTCGCACGCCTCGGAGGAGAATGTAGGTTGATCTTCAGCATAGAGGAAAGCACAGGGAAGAGCGTTGATTATTTTAACAAAGGGACCACACAATGGAGAGTGCTAGTAACAGGGGAAGCTGTGTGTGGGTGTGTGGGTACTGTCACTCCTATCTCTGCAGTTTGTGCATCTAAAGCTAGTCTGTTAGAAAAAGTTTATTTAAAACATAAAAACGGGGACTTCCCTGGCGGTCCAGTGGTTAAGACTCCGCGCTTCCAATGCAGGGGGTGTGGCTTCGATCCCTGGTCTGGGAGCTAAGATCCCACACGCCTCGCGGCTAAAAAACCAAAACATAAAAAAAAAAAAAACCAGAAGCAATATTGTAATAAATTCAATAAAATCTTTAAAATGGTCCGCATCAAAAAAAAATCTTAAAAAATAAAAACATAGAAACGAATTTCAGAAACCCTGTTGGGGGTTCTGCGTGGATGAACACAGCTGGCGGACCAGGGGTGCTGTGCAGGGGCCGCGGTGAGCAGGCCCCGGGCCTCTCAGGTTGCCCTCTGCACAGCCTCACGGGCAGCCTGTGCCTTTCTCCCCTTCCCAGCGGTTGGAAGCACAAAGCCCTTCAAGGTAGACTCCAGCCGTCCCTTTGTTCCCAGCTAATTCTAATTGCAAAGCTCCCCGTGCCTGGCAGCCTCCAAAGAGGAGGGCCCCCCCCATCTCCAGCTGCGAGGTCCTCTAGGCATAACCAGTCGACCCGGGGCCGGACGCGCTCCCACCCCGCCCACTCCGAGGTCCACTGTCGCTGCAGGCACTGGGTCCAATCCCCAGCCCAAATCCCCAGGCCTCCCTGGACAATGGGAGCCCTCCCTCCCCGCCCCCCTTCCAGCTCTCCCCTCCTCCCCTCCCCTTCCTCCTCAGCTCCTACTCTCACCCCCAGCCTAACTGTGGCTTCTGCCTGGGCAACGCTTTGCTTCTCACCCGGGAGCGGTGGTAGGGCACACCCACCCCCTCGTGCACGTGCTTGGGAACCAGCCTCGAAGGGCCATCAATACCGGGGCCCCGCGCGGGGCAGCCTCCTGCCCTCAGCTGAGGTTCTGCCGCAGGGGGAGGGTGTGTTGGCAAATACACCTTTGCGAAGCCCTGAGAACCCACCGAGGGCTGGAAACCCCTCTGCCTCTGTTGGAACACTGTAGACGTCCCTACCAGTTGAGACACTCCTAAGGACTGCTCGGGTCAACACATCAGAGGCCAGAGTTCCGACCCCAGCTCCCACTTTGAGAAACTCCTGCCTGATCATCCCGCCAGAGGCGAGGATGGCTTCGTGAACCTCATGCGTCTCCAAAGCCCAGCTCACCCCGTCTGGACACGGGAGGCAGTGCAGCTTGTGTGCAGGGGTCGAGGGCTCCCGAGTCTCCCTCTAGCCTCCTGGGCCAGGTGGCAGGTGAGCTGAATCCCACAGGATCGGAAGGAGGTGCGGGGAGGCACAGCGCCCTCCGGCTCTGGAGAGCCCGTGGGCCAGCTCGTGCCCGATCTCGCACGCCTCGGAGGAGAATGTAGGTTGATCTTCAGCATAGAGGAAAGCACAGGGAAGAGCTGCTGCTGAGAGAAGCAGTGGTGCACGGGCCACAGGAGACCACATGGGAGCTGCGGAGGCAGGGGGTGGTCTCACTGCCCACCCGGGAAGACTGGCGAGGGGGAGGGAGCGAGGGTGTGGTCCTGTCGAGTGTGGTCTGGGGGGCCTGTTGCACCCCCAGACGTGGAGGCCCGTGCTCCGAGTGGCTGGTGGTGGTCCCTGGAGCAGCGGCAGCCGCTCTCCGCAGCCGGCTCACCCTTCGCAGCTCTCTTCGGCCACCTCCGGCGAAGCCACCTCGCTCTTAGCAGCCTCTGACCCCACAGAGACAATGGCAGCCGCAGGTGGCAGTTCCCTCCCGGTCCTGCCACTGGCCTTGGAACATGTCCCCTCCCCTCCTGGGCACTGCAGCCGAGGTCCCCACCCTTGGCTCTGGCCTCGCTTCTCAAGCTCCCTCGGCCTTGCTCGGTTCACCCTCTGCCCTCTTCAAAAGTGCCATTCCCAAAGTGCAATCAGCTCACCACATCCTTCCCCAGCCCCTGCCTTCTCTCCCCACCAAGGTCCTCGGACGAGCAAGTTCTTAAATTCGTGAGTCTCCTGCCCCCCGCCACGGCCTCACTTCCCTGAGCTTCCCCTGGCGCCATCCGGCCTCTCCATCGAAGCCAGCCCTCACCCAGGTCACGAACGCCCTCCCCTCGCAGGCGTCACACCCTCAGCGCAGGCACGCCCTGCCCCTTCCCCTCCACTTACTCCAGCGGATCCTCTTTCTGCATAGGGGTGCCTGAGGTTCACTGGGCCGGCCCCCTTACCCCTCAGTCCTCGTCCTGAGGGCGGCCCCTGCTTCCCCAGGCCATCTATGGGTCACTCGTAGGCTGGGCCAGGGAAGACTCGAGATTGGGTCTCCCGAGGAGCACTGGGACCCCGCCCCCTCGAGGGTCCCCGAGCCTCCAGTGCCCCCGCCCCACCTAAACACTGGAGACCCCGCCTTTCTCCCACACAGGCCCGTTAAGGCTCCTCCAGCTAGGCTGGGTGCAGATGCTGCCCCTCCCTCACCTAACAGGTTCAAGCTGGCTCAGGCCGGAACTGCTTTCCTTCCTAAAGCCGCCCGGATGGCTGAGGGTTTAGCTTAACGGGATGAGCCATCTGGGGACTGCAGCGTGGCGACTGGGGAGCCTGGGACTGGGGTCAGGGGTGGGGGTGGGCACACTTCACATCTCCAGCCGGGATAATGACCCTTTCCTTCCCCATCCTATGGCTGCTCTTGGCCCTGGAAAATTCCGAACAGGCTGCTCAGCTGCTGATGGGGAAGCAGCTGAACAACCTTGGCCTCGCTGGGGAGGCCTGCAGGTCCCTGGGGAGAGAAGCATAGAGGGTGCGGAGCTGGGGCCTCTTAGCTGAGGCCTCTGGGGGAGGGTCTGTGCACCTACCAAGCACCAGGGGGCAGCCTTACCCTACTCCTGCCAGAGTGTCACGCAAGTCAGGCAGGGGTAGGGGCGGCAGGAATCCCTACCACCCTCCAGTTTGGTGAAAAGGTGTAGCATTGTCCCTCGGTTGGGCAGGCTCCCCTCTGCCTGGTTAGGAGACTCACAGAGACCTGTCACTCCAAGAGCTGGGACCCTGACCCCCAGCTACCAGTGCTGTGTCCCTCAGGGAGGGCCGAATGGCAGGAGACAGGGTCTTGGCAAAGCCCCACAGCACACACCTGGAGGCATACCAACACCCCCGCCCCAGCCGTTCCCCGATTTGGCCAGCTGGGCCCAGCCCTGCAGGAGGCGGAAGCACCCTGCACGCCCTCTGGTGCAGGGGAGCCGGAAAGCTGTAGGCCTTGGTACCCAACAGTGGCCCAAGCCGCAGCTGGGAGTCAGAGAAGGGCCCGCCCGAGATGGCACAGGCTGGAAGGAGGAGGGAAGAAGGGGGGCAAGGAGGTCGAGAAGGCAGCCAGGGTAGTGGCTGGCCTAGAACCGGGAAGGGCAGGTTAGGAGGGTCGACGTGAACCAGGCCCAGGTGAACCTGGGGTCAGGGGCGGTTCGGCTCCTGGGAAGGAGGTGCTGGCCGGCGCCCCAGGTAGCAGCCATCCAGCTTCCCGCTGGAGCGGCGTCGCCTGCTCGGGAGGAGGGCGGGAGGAGGTGGGCGGAGTGACGGGGAGGGCAGGCGGGAGGGAGGGACGGAGGAGGGGGAGGG